AGCGTGTCAAGTTAGTTATTTTCGAGAGGTAGAAGGTATAACGATTTTTTCATTGTAAGGAAAATACTTATAGTACTTCCTTAGCGATTCGATTCGGGGAAAGTCTTTATGTTTTTTCCTTCACAAACCTACGTGATATCGTGAGTTCGAAAGCAATCGATATAAACGAATGATCAAAGGCTCCAGACGATTTTTTTAACACAAGAAACGGAAAGACAAACGCTACCGTTCGGTAAATGGTTTCTTGGCAGAAAATGAAAAAACAATGAAGAAGAAAAGGAAAAATAATCCCTAGTCACCAATAAGATTTCAACTCCCAATGTCCCGGACGGAGAGCCAGGACTTAGCACACTGCGCTACTTGAACATAAGTTATCCAAAGTATGAAAGTATTAATTATTTATTTACGTACCGCAGGCTCAATTGTTTCGCTCAGTCTATACCTCACTTTTGACCAAACAAAATGAGCTTGTAGTTTTTAACTACAGCACAAGAAAGACATGTACACATACATGTAATGTAAATCGTGTGGCAGGCCTGAGTAAAAAACAGTTTTTTAACGCTGACCTTTTTCATTTTGCAGATATCACAACACACCCCTAAATGAAAAAAAGGCTTTATGGGTTTGTTCGAAAGCTAGACTGCCCTCACATCAGAAGTAGTTTCTTAATGAGCGATGCCTCATAACACCCTTTCATAATTTATTTTCCAAATTTAGTGGCTCACAGCCACTTTGATTCACTTTCTTATTGAATCCCGAAAGTAACCGCTCCGCCGAAAGTAACGGCTTCNCCTAGTCACCAATAAGATTTCAACTCCCAATGTCCCGGACGGAGAGCCAGCACTTAGCACACTGCGTTACTTGAACATAAGTTATCCAACGTGTGAAAGTATTAATTATTTATTTAGGTACCGCAGGCTCAAGTGTTTCGCTCAGTCTATACCTCAATTTTGACCAAACAAAATGAGCTTGTAGTTTTTAACTATAGCACAAGAAAGACATGTACACATACATGCAATGTAAATCGTGTGGCAGGCCTGAGTAAAAAACAGTTTTTTAACGCTGACCCTTTTCATTTTGCAGATATCACAACATACCCCTAAATGAAAAATAGGCTTTATGGGCTTGTTCGAAAGCTAGACTGCCCTCATATCAGAAGTAGTTCCTTAATGAGTGATGCCTCATAACACCCTTTCATAATTTATTTTCCAAATTTAGTTGCTCACAGCCACTTTGATTCACTTTCTTATTGAATCCCGAAAGTAACCGCTCCGCCGAAAGTAACGGCTTCGAATACAAGAAAAAGCCGTATTTTATTTCATACGTTTCACACGATACTATGGATCGATGGAACGAGAAAATGTCTCTTCTTTCTTGTTAAGGTACCGTAAGGTGTTTGCTTTTGTGATTATAGGTTTTTGGCCTGGGAAAGCACTTCTGTAAAAACCTGGGGAAAGTCTCTGGCTGTGGGGATCAGTATCGGAATCTGTTACAGGGAATTATCTTCAGAGACATCAACAGCACTCAGAACTTAGGTCCAACGATATCGTTTTAATCCATGAATGTCACCAAAAACATAACCAACGAGGGATAGTGGTATCTGGGGTCCCACCACCGGGAGCGTAATCGAAGAACAATTACAAAACACCTGTATATATGCTAGGCTCTAAACAAATGATCTAATATTTCGTTTAGTGATCCTAACTGCTATTGTCTGCCTATGAGCTCATTGTTGTTTTAGGCTATTCCTTCATAGGCAAGTCAGTTATTCTGCTCGTAAATATTATCTACTTGCAACTTTAGGTGGTTCTCACTACAAAGCGTTGTACGGTAATAGAGATAGACAGGTGGTTACCATGGTTATTGGACTTACACTTAACTTCTAACTGCTTTTTTTATGGTTACGAATATCGCCAAATTCTCCCCTCACATAGCGAGCTAAAGATTTAGAAGTTTTTAACTCTTTGGCCTAAATAGTCTTATGTTGTTTTCTCGGCTGGTTGTTCTTGACGGCTATTGAACTTAACTTAGTGCTCACGTTAATACTAGTGGAAATGCTGTGTGAAAGAAAACATGTCTTTGCCACG